CTGGGATTCTCCCAGATGCCCCAGCAGCCTCCCTCCCCTGCCCTCCGCAGGAGATCCCGCTGCGCTCCAACGTGTACGAGGTCTACGCCACAGACCAGGACGAGGGCCTCAACGGGGCCGTGCGCTACAGCTTCCTGAAGACCACGGGCAACCGGGACTGGGAGTACTTCACCATTGACCCCATCAGCGGCCTCATCCAGACCGCGCAGCGCCTGGACCGTGAGAAGCAGGCAGTGTACAGCGTAAGGGCGGGGCCAGCTCAAGGGGCGGGGCTAGGGAGGGCTTTCCTCTGGGTGCAGGGCCACCTAGAATGTCTTCAAGAGGGTGGTCTGGCCCCCGGGAGTGCCCTTCTGGGGCCCTGTGGCTCCTCTTCTGACTGTGCCCTTCCAACTCTAGCTCATCCTGGTGGCCAGCGACCTGGGCCAGCCAGTGCCTTATGAGACCATGCAGCCCATGCAGGTGGCCCTGGATGACATCGATGACAACGAGCCCCTCTTCCTGAGGCCTCCAGTGAGCTCTCGCCCATGCCCCGCACCTGTCACGCCCACACAGGGACTCCCTGCCTGCAGGCACACATGTGCATGTCCTCCCTTCTGCACCCTTCACCATATGCATGTGTGGTTGCACCCAGAAACCTGCATACACTGAATAGAACAAATACTTATTGAGCCACTACTATTTCAAAGCACTACCCAGCTCCCAAAACGGAGCAAAATGCCAGACTCCTGAGCTGACCCCTCCTTAGTGCCACACTGTACACGGGAAGCCGGAAAGTCGGCTCTGCTTCCCTGAGTTGGGCTGAGCCCCTCCTTGGACTCGGGCTCTCTGACTTGGCGCTTTTCCCTGTGTGCACCTGGGATGAGATGTTCCCTGGAGACTCATGTGCATATGAGACAGTGACCTCTGGTCCAAACATCCACTGAGGTATTGGGAGACCAGAGAACGTGCCAAGCACAGCCCTGCCCTCATAGAGGATGCCACTGGGTGACATCAGGGCAGAGCTGGGGTCTCCCAAGCCCAGCCTTTGCCCCCTTGAGGTTATAGCGCTCTCCTCACCCCATAAGGTGTGGACAAGAAGCTCCCTCAGCACCCACGAAAGTCCTGCCTCGGGCCTCTGGCAGGAGCTGGGAGCCCGGGCTTTGCCTTGACCCTGTGAGGACACTCCCCCTCACCCTGCAGAAAGGCAGCCCCCAGTACCAGCTGCTGACAGTGCCCGAGCACTCACCACGTGGCACCCTCGTGGGCAATGTGACCGGCGCCGTGGACGCAGACGAGGGCTCCAACGCCATCGTGTACTACTTCATCGCAGGTGGGGCTGACGGGACTAGCGCCCTGCCTGCCCCGGGGCTGGAGATGGCCCGTGTGCCCTGCCCCTCACCCTGTGCCATGTCCCACCTTCAGCTGGGAACGAAGAGAAGAATTTCCATCTTCAGCCTGACGGGCGTCTGCTGGTGCTAAAGGACCTGGATCGGGAGCGCGAAGCTGTCTTCTCCTTCATCGTCAAGGCCTCGAGCAATCGCAGCTGGACACCTCCCCGGGGACCCGCACCGGACCTGGACCTGGTCACGGACCTCACCCTGCAGGAGGTGCGCGTCGTGCTAGAGGACATCAACGACCAGCCCCCGCGCTTCACGAAGGCTGAGTACACTGCAGGTGCAGGACGGGAGCCTGGGTGCCGGGGGTGGGGTGGCCCTGCCCTCCCACTTACACCACCGCCCATTCCTGCAGGAGTGGCCACTGACGCCAAGATGGGCTCGGAGTTGATCCAGGTGCTGGCCCTGGACGCAGACATTGGCAACAACAGCCTGGTCTTCTACAGCATTCTGGCCATTCACTACTTCCGGGCCTTTGCCAATGACTCTGAGGACGTGGGCCAGGT